ACCAGGCATGTTAAAAAAAGTAAGGAGTAAGATCGGCCGTACTTTTAAAAGTAAGGTAAAAGTAAGTACCGATTGAGGTAAGGAATTCGGTAAGGAATCCCTATGGGATCCCTATGGGATGCCTTACCTCAATCCTTTCCTGAATTGGTACGGCAGAGAATCCTGCTGGCTAGCAGCTGCTACTTGAAATGGCCGCCTCTACCTAAGCGCCCCCTGGTGGTAGAAAAATCTGCAACGATCGCCTACTCGAACGGCTCGTTGCAGTCAGTTGTTCAGTTTACAAGATTACTGAATAAAACGATAGAATACCAATACATTATATCTTGTGAAGTGTCTTGAATTATTTTTTCTTGTGTTATGAAAAGAATGCAACATTAGAAATTAGTCTAATAGCGACTCCGAATGAACGGTGTTATTGTTTTGTTTTGTACCCTCACACTACCCTACATAATGGTGTTTTGTGTATTATGCTCAGGACGCAGTGTTAGGCATACTGGACCTAAGACAGATTTATTACAGATTTACTAAATTATTTATTGACTGCTTTGTCATACTTTAAAGTACCGTGTTCATTAAATCAATAATTAAACAAATATTCCAATAATTTACATAATGAGCTGAGCAGATTTGTTTTTGAGCAAAAACTATGATTACATTTTATTGACAGATTCATAATAATATGTTTGATTTTTGGAAACACTGTGAACATAACTGATTGATTTCTCATCCCATCCACTCACACATTCAGAATAAACAAATACTTCGTTGTGGTGAAAATGACACTGTGAGCTGCAAATAAAAATAAAAAATTGGTCAAGTTTATCAAAACATACTACATTTTGTTAATGGTGAAACTGGACATATACTAATTAAATTGACAAAGTAGATTGAAATGTGTCTGGGATTATTTCTGAAAAAAAAAGTGTAACTAAAAATTAGTGTTTATCATATTTCTATAAATAAAAAAAATAATTGTGAATGCGATGTTCAACAAAAAAATGAATAATAATATTTGATAGGCGATATTCAAAATCATTCTATCACGAATGTTTTAGTTATTTTGCTTATTTTTTACACTATTAAACCAATGTTATCATTGAATACGATACAGTTACCCCAAATGTATTATTCTAACCAAATTTACAACAAAAGTTATTCAATTTATTCAGATCACATAAACTTCTTAACACACAATTGCTGTCTTCACTTTGGTTTCCGATTACTTTACTTCACCCTTCACGGAATTTATAGAGTATTATTATTATCATTTATACAATATAACTTATTGTTTTAGTTACTAATACTAATGGATTTGAATA